TATTTTCCTATTACTTTCATCTTGTGACAGTTCCACTTGAAAGTTAATACAAACTATTTTCGAGTCAAGATAGTTATAAACTAGGGAAAACTTACATTTTACAACCGACACACAGAGCAGTCGAGTCTAGTACATTCAGTAGAAGGGGCCTATAATGCTAACTTTATGATTCCTTGGTGTATGCATTAAGGGATATATATTAATCGAATCCGACAGGTAGTAGGATGTGTGTTTTCCGCTTCATTTCCTGTTCCTTGTTTGGTTGTGGGCTTAGAGCAGATACACACAACAAATATAACATATACAGTAACAACATACTATGGGTCCAATCAACAATCGGGTATGTATACCCCAAGACCCTCAACCATCGGGTTGGAATGCCGACATGCTACGGGGCCAATCAACCATCAGGTTGGAATACCCCAGGCCATCAACCATCGGGTTGGTATGCCCCGGCCTGTTGGCTTACGCACAAAGCAGTGAAGCCTCAGCCACCGACCAAACATGTGCAGATATAACAGATAATCATATAACAGTCTACAGCCAGTCAAACAGATCTACAGATCACTAAGCATAACATCATCTTATATACCAAGATACCGATCTAACAGGTCGCTAAAGTATAATAGCATGCATAACAGGATATCAATCCAATGGATTGGCATTGGTGCCTTCGACTCGTATGTACAGTGAGGAAAACTCACCTCAAAAACTGAACAGAACTGATGAGGCCCGACTCTGAATCTCAGCTCTCTAATGATACATATTTCCACCAAGTGACCAATTCCATCAAAATCCCAAAATTCCCAAAATGCCCTCAAGGTCTAACTTGGTCAAAGTCAAAGTCAACTGGTCAAACCCACTAAGTCAACCGAGTCAACCCAGCCGAGTCGACCCAACCGAGTCAACCTAACCGAGCTGACTCAGTGCGAGTACGCGGGGCGTACTCCGGAGGTACGCTTAGCGTACTCCAATCCTCGCATTGAGCACCATCAGGGTGGTTGACTGAGCACGCAGGGCGTACTTCTATGTACGTGGGGTGTACCCTCGCATCCCTCAAACTTCATTAAGTGTTTAATGGCTTAAGCACTCAAGTCCGTACTTCAGATCTACGGTCCAAATGCACCCTAAAGTCATAAAGTTTCCAACTTTATGACTTTACAAGTCCACAAAGTGCTTAACACAAGGTCTTAATCCATTAAGACCTTCTACAAGATGCATGAAGCAATTCTAGCAATTGGTACCTCATTTTTATGGCTTAGGACCTTTCCTAGGGTCTGAAAGGATAGCTCAAAATGACAAGAACAACCCAAGCACAAGATGGGGCCTTTGGGACAAGAAAAGCAACATAAAACACCCAAAAATGGGATCTAACAACCAAGACATCAAGGTATGGACTTTATACCTTCTGGAGCTTCTCAAGAAGACAAAGATCCCAGATCCACAAGCTTGCTTCCACTTCAAGGCTCCTCAATGAAACTTCTTCCTCCTTCAAGACACCAAGAACACACTCTTGAGCTCAAAACACACACTAAGAGGGCTAGGGTTTGCAAAAACGTATCAAAGGATGTGGAGGCTGAAAAGGTGAGGGAAGATGAGACATAATGTTTCTTACATACCAACCAAACCCTGAAAATTAGGGTTTTTCCCCTGAAGCTACTACGCCCCGCGTACATAAGTGTACGCCCAGCGTACTAGGGCGCGCCCTAGTATCAGCGTACACACATGGACGCATGGCGTACTCCTCCTGCCATAATTATGAAATTGCCACTAGGGCTTCAAAGCATAACTTCTTGGACTTAGGGACCAAATGACATGAAATAGAATTATAGGGATGAACTTAGAAGTACCTGAACATCGAGATGTTACAGGACACGCATTTGTGCGTGCCCAAAAATTAGTGTTAGAAAAAAGAAAAAAAAAGACGAAGGGCGCTTATCATAAAACGTGAGTCATGTAAGTGTCTCTTTATAAATAGACATCAACATTGATTAAAGAAAACACCTTGATCTGTTCAGATTCACACTGTGAATCTGAACTGTAAATATTTATGTTTTAACATTCACAATGAGAATCTAACTTATTATTTCAACTCTTTTGATCATTCACAAATAAATTTTGTGAAATTTATTTATGAATCGAAATATATTTTCATTTAGTTTTATAATATTTTAACGTTTTGATTACTTGTAATTTAGTTTTGTAAAATCAACAAGTGAATTTATTCACATTGTGAATCTAAATCGTATATAATTCAGTTTTCAGAATTTACAATATAAATCGTACTTACTATTATTCACACTGTGAATCTAAGCTAAATATAATTAGTTTTCAGCATATTCACATTCACAATGTGAATATGAGATAAAATTTTGAGTATTCACAACGCCAATTTGAGCTAAATTTTCAAAAAAAAAATTATTTTTTTTACATCAATATGAATATATATTTAAAGAGTACCAAAAATATGAATTTTGATATATTTATTACATTTTTTTCCTTAAAAAATAGACCTTAACTTAAAAAAATGAAGTAGGTTTTTGTTTAAATCACTTTTTATATATCAATATAGATCTCTATTTAAAAATGACGAAGGTTCGTTAGTATGAACTGGAACTAACGGCTCAAGATTTTTTCCAGTTCGAGTTGTTATTGCTTTGACATGAGCAGTCGGATTTGTCTCAGTGTTACTTGGTAATGTTCCAGGAAATCGCTCTTGTAGTACTCTCGAAATTTGCCCGACTTGGTTTTCGATGTTCAACATCGAAGCTTGCTGATTTCTTAGAGCAGTTTCAGTTGTTGATCCGATTCTTTTCACCAACTCTTCTGTATCTCGATGTCTTTTATCAGATGCTTCTGCAAATCTGGCCATCATTTCTTCGAAAGTTGGCTTCTTTTCTTGCACAATTTGCTCCAATGGTGGGTTTTTTTGGTAGAAACCTTGACCGCTTTGTCTCCATTTCCCTTGCATCTCCATTTCCTTCTTGTATTCATCGAATGGTTTCCAGTTGTTCCGAGGCTTCCTTTCATCGTATCTATCTCCAGATGAGTAGCATACATCAACCTTTTGATTCCCATCTTGATCTAATGGACAATCTCTTTCAAGATGTGGTCCACTACAGTTGTCACAGCCGACTTGGATAGCATGAATTGTTTGATTGACCTTTTTCATGTCTCTTCCTAATGCATCCAATTTTGCATTTAATGCTGCCAAGCCATCTGAGCTCTCTCCTGTTGATCTTTTTCGGAAAGATGAATCTCGTGAAGAATGCCACTGATGTGAGTGTTGGGCGAGTTCCTCGATTATTGCTTTCCCGTCAGCTGGATTTTTCTTAGGAATGGGTCCTTGAGAGTCAACTAACTGACGGGTACAAACATCGATCCCGTTATAGAAAGTCTGCACGACCTGATGTGGATTTAGATCATGTTGTGGACAATTTTGCAGCATTTCTTTATAACGGTCCCAAGCATCATACAGTGTCTCATCTTCAAGCTGCTGAAAATTTTGAATTTTCATTTTCATCTTCGCAATTTTGCATGGTGGGCTAAATTGTTTTGTAAATTTTGATCTTAAACCTTCCCATGTGGTAATCGTAGGTTCAGATTTTATCCAACGTTTTGCAGCTCCTTGTAGTGTTATTGGAAACACTCTAAGCATGACTGCATCTTTGCTTACTCCAACAATGTTGAAGTAGTCAGCTATTTCGAGTACAACTTCGACATGTTGGTTCGCATCTTCATCTTCTCTTCCGGCAAAAGGAGTTTCTCGTAGAAGGTGAAGAAATTGTCCTTTTAATTCGAAATTTGTTTGGGCTGGTATCGCTGGACGAATGACTCCATGATCATCTTCGTCTCTAGTACGGCTTGTATATTCCTCTAATGAAAGGAGGGCTAGATCGGTCATTGTTTGGTTTTCTCGGATTAGTTGGTGAAACGTGCGTTCGGGCTCTTCTAAAGGTGGAACGAAAGTGAAATTTGAACTTCGGGTCATATATTAGGGAAATTCTATCTTAATGTGAATTGATTATATTGCATAAATTATTTATTTAATTTTTGTGTAATACTTTGACTATCAAATAGAGAACAGACAGAGAGAGGCAGCCGGGAGGCAGGATCATTTCGGTGTATATTATAAATATAACTTTTCTGAAATCCAGCAACCAAAACCAACGTACCAATTCCAAACTCTGTTCGGGTAAGTAGAATTACTCGTATTACACGCGAATTAAATAAGGTTATTCATGCAAGATAAACATGGCTCTGATACCATTTGTTAAAAAAAAAATTATTATTTTTTTCTTTTTTTTAAATATAAATTTTTTTTATATATTTTTAAAGTTTTTTTTTTAGTAAATTTAACAATCTATAATTAACTAAGGAAATTCAACAACCTATAATTAACTTAACTAAGGAAATTTATGCAATACTAAATTAAAAGATAAAAAAAAAATATAAATTTTTTTTTTTTTACACTACACGGATCATATACGTATTACACTACATACTACACGGATCTTACCCTAATCTCCTAAACACAGCCGCCATCAAAGCAATTCACATCGTCTCCAACAAAGATGTAGTGATCTCCACCAACGTCTCCCACCGAAGGTCCACGGCTGTCGACTTCCCCCACCAAAGATGTAGTGATCTCTCTCGCCTCTCTTTCTCTCTCTCTCGATCGCCATCAGAATGAAATGGAAACCCTAATTTCAAATTACCGTGTATTCGAGATCCCTACAGCGAGGTATGTCCCCGTTTACTGTGATTACAAACTCACACACCTCACGACCACACCGGATTGAGAGGGCTCTGCCGAAACCCTAATTTCAAATTATCAGCGATGGCTAAGCGCGAATTGTCAAGCACATTGAAGAACTTGAAGGTAATTATAAGCTGATTCTTGATTTTTTCAGATACTATTCAGTCTTTACTATGCATAAATTTTTTCTCAATCCTCGATTTTTGAGTTGCCTGATTGTGGGTATACGTTGATTGCGGTTATGAGAGAAGTGGTGGTGGTTATGGTGTTCCTCGTGGTGGTCGCCATGACGGTTTCAGTAACGGAGATTCAGAGGATGGCGACCGCCCACGTCGGCCATATGAACGCCATAGCGGGACAGGGTGTGGGTAAGTGTTTCATTTTTCAAATTTGTTTGATATATTTTTACTCTTCCTTAAGGAGTCGCAAGATTCCATGAGATTAGGCTGGAATTGGAATTCAATTCCATTCCAACTTGCAAATGAGTATGAATCGTTGGATTTGTCTGGAATAGGAATTCAATTCCATTCCAACCCACGTTTGGTTGCAATTGTGTACAAAGTTCATTTTCACTGGAGTTCACAAAATCATTTGATGAAATTAAATTCCCAACATCTCCTTGTTGAAATTACTCAAATACCCTTTTCATCTCATGTATAGGAATGAGTTCAAACGCGAGGGTGCTGGTCGTGGGAACTGGGGAACGCATGCTGACGAGATTACTCAGTATTATTTTACACTTCCCATTTAATTTCTAAATCCCTCAGTTTATACTTTTATATATTATTTGCTTTCAATTAGTAATCGTTATTATATTTGTTCACAGGGAGACTGAAGAAGTGGTGGTTGAAGGGGAGAAAAATGTGGGCTCTGATAAACCATTGGCTGAAGAAGAGGCAACAAATGAGAAAAAGGAGAATGCTGCAAATGAACTCGAGGATAAGGATGAGGATAAGGTGATTGATTACTTCTTGTCCCAATAATAAGAATTAATAATTCTAATAATGTCATGTTTCTATTCAATAGTCAATACTAATTCAAATTTTGAGTTCAGGAGATGACTTTAGAAGAATATCAGAAGGTTCTAGAAGAGAAGAGGAAAGCTCTGGAGGCACCTAAACAAAGTGAGTATTTTTGGTGTTTATATCAATACCCCTTTAACAGAAAAAACAAAGTGAGTATTTTCTTTTGTCAAAGTAAAGATGTTTATATACTAATTTGGGGTATTGATGTGTATGTTTCGATGACTTTGAAAAGCAGGGGTATTAGCAAAACTTAACTACACTATTTACAAATTTGTCCCCTGAAATAGTTTCCTTAAAAATGGAGCTATAATGGTTTTTTCTTCTTTAAAACCATTTATAATTTTCACTGTTCCAGCTCAGCAGATCTTCCTCCAAACCACAAAAGGAGAGTTGGTAGCAGAGTATAAAGGAATCATCCAATCCAACTGCATTGACTGTCTTGACCGCACAAATGTTACCCAGGTATTACCAAAAGACGTGAATGTCTTTGTCATTCTTCAAGCCCTTGTTGAGTCCATTTGTGTTGCGACTTGGGCCTTACGTTTTGTATCCGGATTGGGCCTGTCCATCCGTGATTATCTAGATTAGCTGGTAGGGTTATACTATATATATGCATGCATGTATGCATTATACAGAGTTGATTATTACGTTGATTATTTGTAACCCTAAAACACCTTGATGTGTTAAAATTCACTCTAGTCTTAAATTTATAAGGTTGAAATTACCGATACTAGAATTTACTATCGACTTAGGCAAGTGTACCTAATTGAATTTGTAATATAGCAATGGTAAGAACGGATGTCGAACACTTGGGGAAACGAGTATGATTTAATATTAGACTATTTGTCGCTAATTAACTTAAAAGATAAGTAACTTGGCGGGAATTTCTAGTAACAAGACAATAATGAAAATTTTAACAATTAAAGTGTAGAATAAATATAGAACAAGAATTGGTTTTTAAGAATCAAGAATGATAAGGATGCTTTCACTTAGATTTAATTCCACCTTTTAGTAATGAATGATTTATATTAAGTGCAATGGATATTATTAGTTATTTACCGATTTCTAAAATTGGTTAAAAATCATGATCTAAATTTTTTACCGTTTTGATAATAAAATTAATTAAAAACAATTGTCATGCAATTAACAATTTTATTAACAATAATTAATTCGTATCATGCAAACATTTGATCAAACTATTCATTTTAGTGGTAGTAAAACAAATAGGAATCGTAAGTTGGTCGTACGATATAAAATATACATGTTAAATTTTTAGTATTTTATTTTGCCCAATTCCTAGAATATTGTCCTTTACTAGTCATAAATATCAATGGTTATGAAAAATTTATGATTCAAGATAATATAATTAAAGTGATCTTTTAAAAATATTAACTTAGTTATGGGAAAATTAATTACAAAAACTTAACATATACAAATAAATGATCAAATATGCATGATAAAATAAATAACAATTAATATCCGAATAATATAAATCAAATCATATTTTCAAGGTTTCATTATCCAAGTGAAAGCAAAGAGAATTTAGCTCATAATTAAGGTTACAACATACATAGAAAACATATTGAGAATGTTAAACATTTCGATAAAACAAACCCGATGTAGTCCCTAATGCCACTGCAATCTTCAATTCCTTAGCTTTTTGACTCTTGAATCCCCAATTGTGGTTCAAAGGTTGGATGGAATTTGGTATAGTGGTGATATGGTAAGAAATTGTATGGAGAAATTTGTGTATCAAAGTGTATGATTCAATCTCTTCTCTTTTCCTTTCTCCTTCTTTTGTGGTGAAAAATGGTGATATTTATAGTAAAAATTGGAAGAATTAAATACCAAAAAGAAATAAATTGAGATTGGATCTAATGAAAAAGAATTCAAAAGAATTAAAAAGATGGGAATAAAAGGTTGGAAAGTTTAAAGGTGGTGAATTATTGAGTATTGGTTGGAAAGGAATGGGTTTAGAATAGGAAAAAGTGGGGAAAAAATGGTTAAAAACGTAATGGAATCGGAATTGGCAAATCTGGTACTCAAAACGACGTCGTTTTAAGCTGAATAGTTCCGAATCGGATTTTGGGTCGGAATCGGGTCGACACGCGGATCTTCATGTGAGAGAAAACGAATCGGAGTCGCGGGTCGGATCTGGATCGAAGCCGGGTATGGATCGGATCGGATGACGTCATTTGATGACGTCACCAGTGGAAAAAAAGCACGGATCCAACCCGGGTCGGAGCCGGGTATGGATCGGAAATATCGGGTTAGTCTGTGAGGGGAAGTGGATCGCGGGGCGGACATCGGATCGGGCTCGGATCTTCGGATCTGGGTCGCGAGATGGATCAGGGCTTCCGGTTTGGGCTAGTTCCGAGTTTGGGCTCAATTTTTGTTTCTTTTCTATTTTTTTTTTCTTCTTTTTTTTTTCTTTTTGCAATTTAAATTTAATTAAATTAATTTAATTAATATAAATTATTTAGAAATTAAATAATTAATTCCCAATAATTTATTTTAATTAAACCTCATTAATTAATTTAAATTCTTTTTATATTTTTATTTTGTTTTCTCGTCTTTCCAACGCGGCTATCTTTGAATTCTTTGACTTTTTGATCTCGTTTTTCTTCGTGTAATTTCTTTCACTTCTTTTTGCGGATTTTTGCACATTTTCTTCTCCTTTTTCTTCAGAAATGATTTTTAGCTGTAAAATGGAATTTCAAACTTTATAAGTACCTTTTATCTTAAATCATACCAAAATATAGCTAAAAATACATAAATATCGCTCGAAATATATGTATAATTATTGCGATATCAAAATACCCCACACTTGAACTTTGCTTGTCCTCAAGCAAAACTAACTTTAGCATGTCATCATATCAAAACCTTCATCACCAACATCGCACAAGACAATCCAACTTGAACCCAGCCATTACATCGAAACCTCAATGCATACATTTGTGTCTAATGATTCTTAAAACTTCCCCAATCCTAAATACTCACAATCTTCAAAAACACTTGCCCACTTCTTTTGAACAACATTCATTTTATGCATCCCTCCGAATATATCCTCAGAAATCTTTCTTAACCTCAAGGTAATTTTTGACTAAGTCCCCAAGCATACATATGGAAAAATAACCTAGAAATAAAAATTACAATAACTAATAACTTGGCAAATTGCCTTTATTCTAGAGTCTTCATTGATTTTTGGAATTTTCTTCATGATATTTCTTGATCTTCATAGCTTTGTAGACTCTTATTCTCAAACTTTGTAACTTTTTTTTTTTTTTTTTTTTTTTTTTTTTTTCAATCTAAAAATCCTAAAAATAAAAACATATGCTTAAGCAAGGGAACTTAACTTCAACTCTTATTGGTTAGAGATATTAGTCTAGAGTGCAATGACTACATAAGCTCTCCTGGATATATTTCTGGTACACGATGCTAAACATATTATGGCCCTCAAACTAAGCAAGGTTGTGTTTTTGTTCCATGATTTCACTAGGATAGGGAAGCCACAAATGTACTATAACATACTATTGGTTCAATTAAACATTTGAGTTCGCATTGAATCATCCCACACAACGTTAACAACTTAAGTTTCAACACAATAAAACTTTTTAATTTTTATCAAAAATGCTTGGTTTCCTTATTCGACCCCCTACCCCACACTTAAATCATACAATGTCCCCATTGTATGTAAAATTAAAGCACATAAAAGTAAAAAGGGAGAAAAAGGAACAGACTCCCCTGGGGTATTGCAGTGGCGAGGTCGAAATCCTGATTTGCGTAGGACAAGTGTTGAGTGCACTTTTCTGTTTGTAATGTTGAAGTGCATGTAAATCTTTTCTTTTTGAACCAGCTGGAGATTTAGGCAAGTGTGGCATCTAAATCTTTTTCCGCATAATTTCTCTGAACAGGTGCATTTACGTGTCGCGTATAAGATTTGGACGCGTCGCGTAATGCAATTGTTGGGATTCTCTTCGCAATTCTTGAATTTAACGCTTTGTATACTGGCCAAGTACACATTGCGTTATTAGATCAATTACTCCTTTTCGCTGAGTGAATTGGATTTGACTTGTGTCGGCCGAACACTTGCTTCATCCTTCGAATAATGCTCTCCCGTTGGTCAGTGTTAGCTTCAGTTCTCCATCCTGCTCTTTGTGGGGAATCACCCCACACTTATGTGATGCCATTGCTCCAATTGTAATTTGCACTTCAGAAATTTACTTTACACCATTCTGACCATCACCTGTTTCTAAGCTGAAAAGTAACTTTCACAGAAAAATAAAACCATTAAAAAGCACTTTTATTGAAAACACAAACTAAAAAGAAAATTCACACCAAACATACAGAAAATAAACACACCAAATTTAAAAATCAAAACAAACATCGGGTTGCCTCCCGCAAGCGCTTCTTTTTAACTGAGTCATGAGCCAGACTCTACCCCTCACTTAATTGTTTTCAGTGAGTTGGAGGGGTATATCCTCTTTCTCTTCTTCTTCTAACATTCCTTCCTGGTAATGCTTCACTCGATGTCCATTTACCTTAAAGCTTTCTCCATCTTTTCCAATTAGTTCGATTGCACCATGTGAAAAGACTTCTTTTATTGTGAATGGACCGTACCAACGCGTCTTCAGTTTACCTGGAAAAAGTTTCAACCTGGAATTGAATAGCAATACTTTTTCTCCAGGGGTAAACTTTTTGTCTCTGCTTAATCTTTTATCATGCCATTTCTTTGATTTCTCTTTGTAGATTTGAGAGTTTCCATAAGCTTCATCCCTTAATTCTTCCAGAGCATTCATCTGCATAAGACGGTTAGTTTTAATTTCCACAGGATCAAAGTTGCATGATTTCAATGCCCAAAATGCTTTATGTTCGATTTCGACTGGCAAATGACATGCTTTTCCAAAGACCATCCTATATGGTGTACTACCAATAGGTGTTTTGTATGCAGTTCGAAATGCCCACAGCGCATCATTAAGTTTATCTGCCCATTCCTTCTTGTTACTTCCCACTGATCGTTCCAGAATTCTTTTTAAAGCTCGATTTGTGACTTCAGTTTGCCCACTGGTTTGTGGATGATAGGCCGTTGCGATTCTATGGTGAACACCATATTTTTGCAAAACCTTTTCCAGTTGGGTATTGCAGAAGTGTGTACCCCTGTCACTGATCAGAGCTTTAGGGAAACCAAAACGTGAAAACAGATTCTTTAAAAACTTGACTACTACACGAGCATCGTTAGTGGGTAAAGCTTTCGCTTCAGCCCACTTTGATACGTAGTCAACAGCTACCAAAATATATTTGTTTCCTCGTGAGGAAGGAAATGGTCCCATAAAATCGATTCCCCAAACGTCAAAAATTTCACATACTTGGATGCTGTTTTGGGGCATCTCATTTCGGGAAGAGATGTTACCGGCCCTTTGACATGCATCACATTCTTTCACGAAGATGTGAGCATCTTTGAAAATCGTAGGCCAGTAAAATCCAGCATCAAAGATTTTTCTTGCTGTGTAATTAGCACCATGATGCCCCCCAGTCGGTCCAGCGTGACATCCTTTCATGATCTCACGACTTTCTTTTCCGAATACGCATCTCCTTACTACATTATCCGCGCAACTTCGGAATAAGTAAGGGTCATCCCAATAATAGTGCTTGAGGTCCGAAAAAAATTTCTTCTTCTGTTGATGTGTCATTCCTTTAAAAAGAAATCCTGCAGCCAAGTAGTTTACAATGTCTGCATACCAAGGTACCTCTTCACCTATCATCATCAAGGATTCATCTGGAAATTTGTCATTTATTTCAGACTCCTTGAGTTCTTCGATGTTGGGATTCTCTAATCTGGACAAATGATCAGCAGCCACATTTTCCATGCCTTTCTTGTCTTTAATCTCGATGTCAAATTCTTGGAGTAACATGATCCAACGAATTAATCGTTGCTTAGAGTCTTCTTTCCTGAATAAATACTTCAAGGCAGCATGATCAGTAAAGACAATAGTTTTTGACAAGATCAAGTAAGAGCGAAATTTCTCAAAAGCATAAACCACAGCAAGCAATTCTTTTTCAGTTGTGGTGTAATTTGCTTGAGCGGGGTTTAACGTCTTGCTGGCATAGTAGATTGGCTGAAAATGTTTCTCAATTCTTTGTCCCATAACTGCTCCCACTGCAAAATCACTAGCATCACACATTAATTCAAATGGCAAATTCCAATTTGGAGCGACCATTATCGGGGCTGTTGTTAATTTTTCTTTTAAATTGTTGAAAGCATTTAAACAATCTGAAGAAAAATTAAACTTTGCTTCCTTTAACAGAAGTTGAGTCAAA